TATTGTTAGTATTATTTATATATTATTATTATATATTATTATTTGTTTATTTTTATTTTTATTTTTATATTATAATTTTTTTAATTATTTTGTTGTAAATATTATATAAAAAGTTATTAACAAAAGCCCAGGCAGCTTGTTTTATTTTATTTGTTTTATTTGCTTTATTTTATTTATTTGTTTTATTTTATTTATTTGTTTTATTTTACTTATTTTTTTTTGTTTTATTTATTTGTTTTATTTTGTTTGTTTGTTTTGTTTAATAAAAACAGTAAAAATATATAATAATAATATATTAAAAAAAACCAAAACAATAATAATACTACTACTAATACATTTATAAAAACAAAAATATATTAATAATATATATATCTAAATATATATACACATATACATATGTATATATATATATATATATATATATATATATTTAGTATAATATAATATAATAAAAATAAAAAAAAACAAAAGTTTTTTGTTTGTGTTCAGCTGGAGTGTCGTCGTCTTCGTGTTGCGTTGAATTTATTGGCGTCAAAAAAAGAAGAAATAAAAAAACAAATGAAAGCAAAAGAAGAAGAAATAAATATATTACAACATAAACTGGAGTGTATATACACCGAGTATAATAAAAATAAAGATATAATATATAATAATAAACAAATAATATATAAATACAATCACTATATTCAGTTTCTTATTAAAATTATTAAACACCTAAAATTATATATTATAAGCGAAGCTAAACAAAACTCGTTTTCTCTCTCTTCTCCTCTCTCTCCTTATAGACCTTCTCTTCTTTCTTCTTCTTTTGCTGCAACACCCAAAGAGAGGGGGGCCCCCGGGGGGGCCCCCGGGGGGCCCCCCAAGGGTACCACCTCTGATGCGGGGGGCCACAGGGGGGGGGAGGAGAGAAGAAGAAGAGAAAGAAAAGATGATTTGAATTTGAATGAAGAAAGAAAAGAAAGTTATGAAGAAGAAAAGTGGAAAATATCTGAATATTCAGCTGTGCATACACCCCGAGGTGCCTATACACCCCGAGGTGCCTATACACCCCAAGCTGCATATACACCCCGAGGTGCCTATACACCCCGAGGTGTACATACACCCCGAGCTGCATATACACCCCGAGGTGTACATACACCTCAGGGTGTATGTACACCTCAGGAGGAGGAGAGTGAATCTGTGCGGGAGTTGCAGCGGCTGGTGGAGAAAGCTGCAGCAGAAATAAAGGCGACCCTCAGTGCAGCTAAAAAAGGAAAAACAAACAAAAACAACAAACAGCAAACGAACAAACTAACAAACACAACTCCTGCTGCTGCTGCTGCTGCTGCTGCTGCTGCTGCTACTACTACTACTACTGTTCCTCCTATTCTTACACCATCATCATCATTATCATCAGCAGCAGCAGCTGCTGCTGCTGCTGCTGATGGTGACGCTGCATGCGCTAGCGAGTGTGTAGAGGTGCCTGAAGAAAGAATTGATGAGGGAGAAGAAGAAAAGAGAGAAAGCAGCAACGGCTCATCGCTTTGGGGTGTATGTACACCTCAGCAGCCGGCGGTGGGGGCGGAGGACCCCGATTTCGATTCATTTATTTCTCGTTTTTTCTTTGAATGCGACGAAATAAAAAGCATAAATAAAATAAATACAACAAATAAAATAAATAATTTATATAATAAAAGAGCAGCAGCAGCAGCAGCAGCAGCAGCAGCACACTGCCGCGCACCATGGAGAGAAGAAACAGCAGTGAAGTGCCTCAAAGAAGAAATCAAAATTTTGTTTCCGCGCGCATTCGAGCGTCTAGAGAGAAGCGGAAAAATTAAAACTAATAAAACTAAATAAATATATTTTTTTTGCTTTTTTTCTCTTCCTTTTTGCTCGTTTTCTTTTTTAATTTGTCTACGTAAATACTCAACTACTAACTGCTGTTGCTGCTTCTGTTGCTGCTGCTGCTTCTGTTGCTTCTGTTGCTGCTGTTGCTACTGTTGCTACTGTTGCTGCTGTTGCTGCTGTTGCTGCTGCTGCTGCTGCAGCACTAGGAGGGTGTAGGGGATATACTATATAGAGATAGGCGCAGCCAAAGTGAAACAACACATGCAGCAGCAGCAACACCAGCAGCAACAGCAGCAGCAGCAGCAGCAGCAGCAGAACATTTTATTGATCCTAGTGTATCCTTAAGTTCCTTCGCTGTGTACACTATCAGCAGCAGCAGCAGCAGCAGCAGCAGCAGCAGGAGAGAAAAAAGCACAAAACAAAAAAAAAAAAAGAAAAAAAAAAAAAAAA